TTATCTGATCTATTCTTTTGTTTACTGTTATCGATTCTGTCTTCTGAACAGCACCTTTGTCATAGTAAGTTGTTTTTAAATGCACTTTATAAATACATTTCAGTTGAATTGAGTTAAATTGTACAAGCTAAGCCAGATTTATGGTCCAGCAGAGGTAGTCCTGCCGTGAGTTCTGTTGCCAGATAGGTTCAGTGTTCCAAGTATGTAGTACAACCAGTTTTTAAGCCACTCTCGCAAGTGTTTTTGGTCAGTTAGCCAGTTGGATCTAAATACTGATAGTATCAATACAGATGGTGGTACTGGCATCAGATCAGCACTAGCACTATAGTTCCCCTAAGTTCGGTATGTAGCTCACTGAATTGTGTTAAAGAATGCTTCTGGAAATGGTTTTTAGTCTTTATGTTGAATATTACCTCTATTTTATTGACCCAAAGTGCTTTAGAGATCCAGGCACTCCAAAAGCAAAAACCCAAAATACATGGAAAGCTGAAAGGTGTGTTTTGGTGTGTTAGATAATTATTGTGGAATGTGATCACAATACAGTAGTGGTCATCTAAATGTGTTTAAATTGTGAACTCTGCTGTCACTCACTGTTCTATTGTGGCCCACTTGCCAACCAATCAGCAGATGCTTACATCATCCACATGCAGCAATGGGAAGTCAGGATCTTGGAGGACTCAATGGGAGCACGTCTGTGGTCAGTGAAAACTCCTCTCCCAGATCTCTGTCCGACCGTAATTGTGTTTGCAGACAGACACGTTTGCCTGATCATAAATCCTTCGTTAGCTGTATCTTGGGATGGAATCATGGCTTTGTATTCTGCCCCCTCGTGGACGGAAATTGATGCTGCATTAATGTCTAATAAATTTTTTACATTTATATTTTTAATAATTGAAGTAAGGATGAAAATGTAATAATAACTTAGCATTGTGTTTAATTTTTTGGTAAGCATCAGTTGATTAAAATAAAGAATATTTTACAGTATAAATGCATTCATCAAAAAAAAGTTGCCAGCGATTGTGTGTTTGTGTCACACTGTCTCATCATGTTGAGGGAGCTTGTGAAATAGATACTGTACACACATCTGAAGGTCAGAGGCAAGTTACCCCACAGCAAACTACAGCCCATGTGCTGATTTGACATGTGGGATCAGATGATAACTGTTATGCAACTGTGTACGACTCTGCCAAGTTCAGGCCCAGTGTATGGACTAAATAAAACACTAATAAAACAGAGCAGCACGTGTCACATGCATGTTGCAATATCAGTGAAATCTGATTCTCATCAAACTGTACGTGTCTTCATTCATGGCAACAGTGGAGACTCACTTGCAGGTTGCGTTTCTTAGTATCGTAGTGGATTTATTTAAGAGCCTTTAGAAGTTGTGCTAACTTTCTCTTGATTTCCTGATCACGGTGAATTATTGTGTTTGTGTTGGATCTTTTTGATCATGTAGAACATTCTTTGTGATGCAGCTGTCCAGTTTGGAACAAATTATTTCTCCACGCCCTTACTCCTCATTTCCTTGACAGTAGTATGCTCAAAACTGTAGCTTTGCATGCGATGTTACACATATTTAGTCATGCTGAAGTGCTAGTATGGTGCTATATCAGTCAGTCCAACACTTTGATCCAAACTGAAGCATATCAACAACTTTTGAATGGTTTAATGGAAAGTCATGGTCCAGCCAACTCATTTTTGATGTAAATCCAATAATTATCTAATGGCTCAGTCACAGTAGAGAAAAAAATAGGATAGCAATCAGTGGTTTCTCATTGATTGTGCTGAATTGTTTTGCTGTTGGAGACCGCAAATAGCTGTGTCACCTGACAGCCTCTTTCGATCACAAGGCGGTTGCACAGGTTGCCTGGTGGAAGGCATTCTCTCTCCAAACAGTTGGGGTTTAACTCAGACTGCTCGCAGTTGGAATGGCACTGATGAGGGAAACTCATCTGCATCAGTCATGAGTCTCTTTGCATTACAGGACTTGACATAACATTTTGCAGTCAAACTGCTAAATGCATGAGGTTCTGGCTGGACTCTGAAAGTAAGTAGTTAATGTGATCTTAGTTCTGTTTAATTGGTGAAAACACACAACAGCACACATACAAACACAAAATGACCCTAAATGGATCCTAAAGTACCAGCAGTTTATTGCACTATTCTACAACAAAGGGAGAAGTACAGTCAGTACGTACTGACGTGTACACTTTGTAGAAAAGAGGTACACACAGACAGGTCACTAAGTGTGTGACAGATGCACACATATGCAGGAGTGGAGAATCTTTTACATGTTAATAGTAATTTGGTTATTCATAGGGTACAAAGAAAACCCCCACAGGACACAAAATACCATCCTAAGTATTGAAGCAAGCAGCAGTCAGGAATCTGAGTGCTTTTTTAAATCACAACGGACTTCAGGTCTGCCATTCTCTTTTCATGAAGAAGATGACTATGTGTGACTATATGTGCCCAGGTATTGCTGGCATTTATACAGATCATCCTAACACAGCAGTCAGCACCTCGTCACTATCTTTTACGCCAAAGGAAAGATTTACTGCACACGGGTTTGACTCCGGTGGTAATACACACCCTTTTATTCACATATTTTGGACTCTAATTTGAGGTAAGTCATTTCAGCATGGAGCCTGACATGGCTTATCAAGAATTATGGGTTTGTTTGTGTACATAATGATCAAAAACATCAAAAACATACCACTGTGTTAAAGCACTGCACTTCATGCAGTAAAGACATGGAAATTTCCTGAGGGTAGAGTGTTCCAATTATTTTCAGGAGCCACACAAACATAAGGAATCCATGAATGTTTCAAAGAAAACAACATTTCATGTCCAGCAGTAGCATCAACGCCATTGTGCCCTTTGTGCAGCAATATCTCGGTCACACTGCTACCTATAAATCTACAACACGTGTCTTTATGGCTCGATGGTGCTAGAGATGAAATAATGCTTTTGAGAATCATTACTACACTTTAGCATCAAAGCATTCTAGTTAAAGCACTCTTTTGTTTGTTTAACCTTTATTTAAATCATAATTTAGCTTTATTGTTCCTGGAGAAAACATAAAACTGCACTAACTCTCCGACAACATCGAGACGGCCTACCTGGAGGAGATTAGGAACCTGGAGATCTGGTGCCAGGAGAATAACCTCCTCCTAAACATCAGCAAGACTAAGGAGCTGATCGTGGACTTCACTACAAAGCAGGCGAGGAATTACAAACCCCTCATCATCAGTGGCA